CGGTAAACTCCGCGGAGTGGTCGAAACGGAGGCGCGTTATTCTCTGGAAGGATGCAATAATGATCGGCTCCGGGCAGCGAAAACGAAAGGAAATTTGGTAGGCGCCATTTCGGAGGGCACGAGACAATCAATTACCGGGGAACGAGGGTGGAGCAAAGGGTCGGTGTAGGGTCGGTGTAGGGTCGGTCGTGTGCTTAACACGGGGTTGCGCCTCGTCACGAGCCGTCGGTGCACCGCGGGAACTATGAATCAAGCAAGCGGCATGGGCGCCTGCCGCAACCCCCGTTCTAGAGCAGGTCGAACGGCCGCCATCGCGTCAGCCCGAGGGCAACGTGGCAACGCGCTATTTGTTATTTTGCTCTTTCGGCGACGCGTTCATTAATCAACCGCGCCGCTCTCTTTGCCGGTCGCTCAGCATGTTTCATCCCTCGTAGCGGCCCGTGACATCCCGCCTGACAGACTCCGCGTCGCTTTTCTCTTTTCCGCGTCTCCGTTTTCCTTCCGTTTTTCCGCGAATTCGATCGATCCGCGTTCCAAGATCGCGCGAGTGCACGCAGCTGTCTTGTCCCGCCTCGATTACCACCGTTTCTTCGAGGACTCTCGCGAGACGAGGGCGAGAGGTCGACGAAAGCGAAAGAGAAATCGGGAATTTTTCCCACCGAGATTGAAATCGTTTAATCGTCGACTCGCGTTTCACGGCGCTGCTTTGCTTCCAAGACTTGGAAGCTTTCACCTCTCGATAAATCGAAAGTTACGCGTCGAAGCTGGAACATGGAATATCGCGGAGACGAAGAACGATTCGCCGAGCGAGTACGTCCCATCTACCCGGATGTTAATATTATCGGAAACCATCCTCTACGACTCCCTTCGTCCCTTCTGTCCCAGAAGTCTTTCTTAAACTCGAACACGTCCGATATTATTCGATATGAAGTCTTCGTCCGATCAAAGACGGTTACCCTACTTGGAATCCCATTGGGGACGAGTTTCTCGCGGTTAGAGTCCGAGCCCGGAAAGGTCGAGCCCTCTCCCACGGCAATTTTTCTTCCTCCCTTCGTTTCGTGGCGTTCGACCCCGTCATCGACAGCTCGCAGCCCGTTACCGCGACAATTGCCCCGCAATTCCGGCATAAATTCAGGCGCCGGGAGAACTCGGTCGAGGCCGATCCCGCGAGTGCCATTTAAATTTGAATTTCGCCGTCAGTTCGCACGGCTAATCGTTAAATGACGTTTCGCAGTGAGAACCGCACGCGGCGGCCTCCGGCAACATGGGAATACCGTGAATATCCACCTTTCGCCTCTTTCCATTCCCGGCTTCGTCTCTCTTCGTGCTCGTTTTGCGTCTCTCCGAGTGTGTCCCACCCTCCACCCCCTCCCTCTCTATCCCTCCGACCCTCGGTCTTTCCTCGTCCCTTTTCGCGCCGACGCGACCCTCCTCGAACGTACGCGGACATACCGGTTAATAACGAATAGACCGACCGGCCAGCGGGAATCGGCCGCGGAATCCTCTTGCCTCGAAGTGAATTTCAGACAAGTCCGACTAACTTCCCATCGTTTTCGCTCGAACGTGTAAAAGCACTCTGGCTATTGGCCCGAATTAATATCTCGCCGACTTAATCCGACCGGCCGCAGTTTTTCCGACCGGTCCGCCGTGGAAATGGCTTCTCCGAGCTCCACCGCGATTCCTTTGCTCGGAGACTCCGTAACGAGTGCGGTAATAGAGTCCGAACGAGTTTTGAATATTCCCCGAGATGCAAATACCCGGCGTCGCGAACAGGCATCGTAAACGGAGCAGCCCTGGACGTCCGCGTCAGCGGCCACTTTTTCCCCGACCACGAGGTAGCCGAGACGTGGCCGGGAAATTGCCGGCGTCATAATTAATGAACGCAGCGTCGCCTCCGTGTGTTTACCCGCCGTTGCACGACGATAAGAAATTATTAAGCGGCTTACCGTACGAGGGAGTAGTAAAAATGTTGCGGCAGCTGCGTTTCCGGCAGTCCGCTTCGATCCACCAGCAGCTAGCAGCATAGAGGTAACAGGGCTGAGAGGGTCAGAGAGGAGAAATTAATTCCGACGTTTTTCGATAACATGATTATACATTATATTACGTGTTACGGTCAGTGATACATACCCGCACTGTTCCCCTTACTCGAGATCTTCCGAGTGGAATTTTCCCATCGGCCGAGGCGTGCACCTTTCGTTGCGATACGCACGACCCGTCGCGAGGACATCTAGCCCAACACTAACGTTTACGCCGAGTATCGCCGACGTTCGTTCGTAGATCGTAACGTAAATATCGCGAGCCAAACGCGCGGTTCAGTTTCCTCGACGACTTCCTGTCTCTGTTGCGTGTTATTATCTACTGCGTGTTCGGACCAAGCGCCTCGTGTTTTCGACGCGTGTCAACGTGACCGACGCTGCTGTCGGCTATGACACGTGTCATCGGGACTCGAATAACAGGATAAGAGGTTAACAATCCTCCTCGGTGTAACGAAAACCGCGCGGTTCGAATCTGCACGCGTGGTCGCCCCGTAGGTCGTTCGGCCACGCGTCCCTATGCGTTGACCCGTACTACTGAAGGTCCTCCGCGTCTAGAGTAGGACTCGCGAAATCGGGTCAGGCCGATCTCCAGAGCGAGTCCTCGGACGGAAATGAGAAGGTTGCATGCCAGGCGGTATAACGTTGACGAAATCTCGAAGCAGGGAGCGTGTGCGAGTAGGACGAGGATTCGTACGCGACGCTATTCCGAAGGATCGTGCGCGCGAATAGGGAGCTGGCACGGTAAGTTTCGGGTAACACCGTCGCCCGGCGACGACGACATTGATGGAAACGTATTAAATGCCCGGAGGCGGTCTCGCCGCGACGTGGAACGCCGTGGATAATTCGAGCGTCGCGTTTCGGCTCCCGAGGGAATGCCGTAATTACGCCGAGCACGCTAGTCAAAACAGCAGACGCCGCGCGGCAGCGGGGGACGGATTGGAGAAAAATGCCGGAAACTCGGGGAAAGAAATCGCCCTCGCGAGATCGCGGTGTTCCCCTACTGGACGACGATCGGGAAGATCGGGTTTAGGCGTATATCCTCGCGGAGCGACTTGGAATTCGAGACGCGATTAGGATCGCGCGTAACGTTCCCAGCTCCCACCTCCTCCATCTTCGCCGATTTTCGACGTGCATACGCCTGAATTACGGGCGACTGATTAATAGTCGGAGCGATCGTGGCGACTGCTGAGCGCAGCGTCGGTATATTAGTATTCGCAGGGAAAAGTACACCGGAAAGGATAATGGGGAGCAAAGTCTCGTAAGTAGTACGATGGGATCACAAAGGATCAGTAACAAAGGGACAAGCAGAGCTAGCCGTGATCCATTTTTACCCTCTATACTCTCCTTCGACGATACAATAGACTTAGGGAAAGGCTCGCGGATCTAAAATTAGAATCACCCCGACCCACTTTAACCCCCGGCTTTGATTCGGACCCAATTTAAAATGGCAGCAGCTATCGGTACAACAGAAATTCAAGCCCCGAGTGAAACGGAGGCCTTTAAATTCGCCGTCCGGCGCAAACCTCGGGGCTCGAGGACGCTTTTTCTCCTTGCACGGTTATTAGAGAATCCTCGGTAACGAGAGGCAAGCGTGTGCACGAGTCGTTACAGGGTACACGAAGGCAAAGAACCGGCAGCCGCGCCGTTATTATTATTCTCCTCGGTCCGTGGCATAATGGAACGGCGTTTTCATTGAACGTGTTCGTCGCGTTCGACCGAGAAGTCCGACATTTTCCCCGGGAAATAATGCGGGGCTCGGGCAAAGGGTTTCTTCGCGGCGCGGCGGCCTACGAAACACGCCGGAAACCCTCGCTCCTCGCCCGCTCTCGGCCGTTTTTATTATTCAGTCGCTTGATCTTGCCGCGGCTCGAGCTGAATGGCGGAGCAACGGGCCCGTAATGGCGGCGCATTGTGCGTCGCGCAAACGAGATTCATCGGATTAAACACGAGTCCCGCGACCGAGAGTCCGCCACGCTCAATGGACAACGGATTCGAGGGTGTCCGTTGGCGAGCTCGTTTGTCTCCCGGCGTCCCGCTGCGACGTCTTTGCCGTCGCTTCATCCCTCTCGCGCCGTGCTCCTAAGACGCGCGGCGTAACGCGCGAGCGACGGTGCGGAACCGTGGAACAATCGAACTCGTCGGGTCGTTGTTCCCGCTCGATCGTTCCATAAGTCGATCAGCTTTCAAAGTCGCTGTTACCCGATAATCTTGAACGTCGACTCTCGATAGTCTCCGGGGGAAATACAACGCCTCGACGAAATCAATAGTTCCGGGTATCCGGTTCCAAAAGTGGTCCAACCCTGTACGACTCCTTGCAACCAGCTATTCCACTTTGTACGAAAGAATACCACCACCACCACCACCCCCTTTTCTCGTCGCTAACGACTGTTTCCCTTTCCCTTAACCTCGCCCGTCGACGCAACCGTTCCGACGCCATTCCGCTTCTCGTTTCCGCCATCGGCCGGAACGAGCAATCTTTTCTCGAGAACTTTCGCCCTTACCCGAACGAACGCAGCTGCAGAATTTTTGACGGCTTTATCGGGAAATTCCGACGATCGAATAAAAAATTATCGCCGCTACGTGAGAACCCCCCCGTGAGAGATCGGCCGATTTAAAACACGTATTGCTTCCCGGAGTCGTTCCCCCCCGGTGGCAAGAAGTACGGTTCTCGAAAAGTTTATTAAAACTCCGGTAGGATTTCGCCGGAAGTTTCGCGGCAACTTCGAGACACGTAGTTGGAGGGGAAGTTGGAAAGTGGCCGCTTTAAGAATTCTCTTTCAACCGGCGCGGATTTAGCCGTCGCGAAATTCATTACGCGTCAAAATTTCCCACGGACGCGAGCCATCTCGTCGTATTTCTCAACTTCTTCCTTAATCGCCTTTCGAATACCCCGTTCCGCGACTTCGTTCCCGGCCTCATCCGAGTATCGAGCGATTTTAACACCAGCGTTATGTCTGATTCCAGTGAGGGAGGTTACGTTGTCCGAACTCAGGGACTCGATAGCGAGGTTACGAGAGAGAGTGAAGCTAGTATGCCGAACGAGGGGTTCCCCGCCCCCAAGGGTGCACTGGCTGAAAGACGGTATACCGCTGCACCCTCGCAGAGGCCTGAGGATTCAACACAAACGGTGAGTCTTGCTTTCCATTCTGATATTCCAGCGGAAACCGCTCGCGATTTATCGCGGGTCGCGGACAAAGGCGCGGGATCAACGCGGTGGAAAGACGTGTTTCGCGTGCAGGCGAAAAATCCCCGGTAATTAGGGAAAGGCTCGCGGATCTAAAATTAGAATCACCCCGACCCACTTTAACCCCCGGCTTTGATTCGGACCCAATTTAAAATGGCAGCAGCTATCGGTACAACAGAAATTCAAGCCCCGAGTGAAACGGAGGCCTTTAAATTCGCCGTCCGGCGCAAACCTCGGGGCTCGAGGACGCTTTTTCTCCTTGCACGGTTATTAGAGAATCCTCGGTAACGAGAGGCAAGCGTGTGCACGAGTCGTTACAGGGTACACGAAGGCAAAGAACCGGCAGCCGCGCCGTTATTATTATTCTCCTCGGTCCGTGGCATAATGGAACGGCGTTTTCATTGAACGTGTTCGTCGCGTTCGACCGAGAAGTCCGACATTTTCCCCGGGAAATAATGCGGGGCTCGGGCAAAGGGTTTCTTCGCGGCGCGGCGGCCTACGAAACACGCCGGAAACCCTCGCTCCTCGCCCGCTCTCGGCCGTTTTTATTATTCAGCCGCTTGATCTTGCCGCGGCTCGAGCTGAATGGCGGAGCAACGGGCCCGTAATGGCGGCGCATTGTGCGTCGCGCAAACGAGATTCATCGGATTAAACACGAGTCCCGCGACCGAGAGTCCGCCACGCTCAATGGACAACGGATTCGAGGGTGTCCGTTGGCGAGCTCGTTTGTCTCCCGGCGTCCCGCTGCGACGTCTTTGCCGTCGCTTCATCCCTCTCGCGCCGTGCTCCTAAGACGCGCGGCGTAACGCGCGAGCGACGGTGCGGAACCGTGGAACAATCGAACTCGTCGGGTCGTTGTTCCCGCTCGATCGTTCCATAAGTCGATCAGCTTTCAAAGTCGCTGTTACCCGATAATCTTGAACGTCGACTCTCGATAGTCTCCGGGGGAAATACAACGCCTCGACGAAATCAATAGTTCCGGGTATCCGGTTCCAAAAGTGGTCCAACCCTGTACGACTCCTTGCAACCAGCTATTCCACTTTGTACGAAAGAATACCACCACCACCACCACCCCCTTTTCTCGTCGCTAACGACTGTTTCCCTTTCCCTTAACCTCGCCCGTCGACGCAACCGTTCCGACGCCATTCCGCTTCTCGTTTCCGCCATCGGCCGGAACGAGCAATCTTTTCTCGAGAACTTTCGCCCTTACCCGAACGAACGCAGCTGCAGAATTTTTGACGGCTTTATCGGGAAATTCCGACGATCGAATAAAAAATTATCGCCGCTACGTGAGAACCCCCCCGTGAGAGATCGGCCGATTTAAAACACGTATTGCTTCCCGGAGTCGTTCCCCCCCGGTGGCAAGAAGTACGGTTCTCGAAAAGTTTATTAAAACTCCGGTAGGATTTCGCCGGAAGTTTCGCGGCAACTTCGAGACACGTAGTTGGAGGGGAAGTTGGAAAGTGGCCGCTTTAAGAATTCTCTTTCAACCGGCGCGGATTTAGCCGTCGCGAAATTCATTACGCGTCAAAATTTCCCACGGACGCGAGCCATCTCGTCGTATTTCTCAACTTCTTCCTTAATCGCCTTTCGAATACCCCGTTCCGCGACTTCGTTCCCGGCCTCATCCGAGTATCGAGCGATTTTAACACCAGCGTTATGTCTGATTCCAGTGAGGGAGGTTACGTTGTCCGAACTCAGGGACTCGATAGCGAGGTTACGAGAGAGAGTGAAGCTAGTATGCCGAACGAGGGGTTCCCCGCCCCCAAGGGTGCACTGGCTGAAAGACGGTATACCGCTGCACCCTCGCAGAGGCCTGAGGATTCAACACAAACGGTGAGTCTTGCTTTCCATTCTGATATTCCAGCGGAAACCGCTCGCGATTTATCGCGGGTCGCGGACAAAGGCGCGGGATCAACGCGGTGGAAAGACGTGTTTCGCGTGCAGGCGAAAAATCCCCGGTAACGACTCGTCGCGGTGCAACTTTCGCGTGGGAAGGCAGCAAGGGTTTGAACGAAGGGCCGCGAAAGTTTCGGCTTCCCGGCCGAAGCGTTTATAACCCGGGATAACGTACGACAAACTCGCCTGTTCTCCCACTAATTCGCGATTAACGAAATCGTTTCGTGTTTGGCACCGATTTCGAGCAACGACTCGCCAGCTTTCCATGCTCGTTTTCTCCTCGTTTTCCGATCCGAGCGGTCGTCGAGCTTCTGATATCGTTGCCAAGAATACTACTCGCGTGTGACATCGATTTCCGACGAGCCCTGCCCGCGTGCTCGCGTGTCCCCGAGCAATCGATCGTAACGACGTAATCGCCGTTATTACGCTCGATTTCTTTTATTACCGCCGCCGTGGCTCCGTTTCCTCTCGCGGTCCGTGCCGGGAAAATAAAGGAAACTGTCCTCTTAGTCGTTTCGCTGGGAAATTTCCGCTTGTCCCTCAGCGAGAAGCGAATCCGCGCGACGGATGCTGCGTGAGGGAAGCCACCAACGCAGTGGTATGGCGTCGGTGGTGGTCGGAAGGTGGATAACGCGAGTCTCTTCGCGTCGGGGAACACGTGTCGAGCGTGTTAAGACGATTGGCAGTTTGTAAATCTCTCGCGTGGCAGCGTGGCTCGACGAGCGGTTAGCACGGCCCTGGGAACCGTAATAATTTCAGACGGCCTTTCGGCCGGATTTACTATCCACGGAGGAACGATTATAGCGAGAGAGTCGGCCGGCCCTCTTCTCTGATGACTCAACTGTTGGCAAGACTCTCGTTTCGCCTCTGCTTCTGCTGCTACCACTACCACCGCTCTTTAAAGACGACGTATTCGCGCGCGAGCACGCCTGCTCGCCGGTCCAACGCGAGCATATTGTAATGGAAACCGTCAGCTTCTTTTCTCCTTTGCTCCGTCAAAGTCTACGCTTTCAAACTTTCCTCCCCGTTGCCTCGCTGCCCCCGCTCGCCCCGCGTCCGCCGCGTAATAACGCGTAAGCAACGCGCCTTTGCTTTCCGCGACTATCTCTCGCGATTCTGCCTCGTAACTGCGCGATATTGTAAACTGTTTGCCTTTGAGCCTGGAAAGCGACCGGGGAGACTGCCCGCTTTTGAAGCCGCGCTCCGAGCGAGAAGAAAGTGAATCGCGACATATTTTTCCTTTCGCTCTCGAAAACCAGAGGAGTCGCCAGCGGCGTTTAATGGCAGTTTGTAATTAGTCCGCTTTGCCGGGAATGCCGGCGAATCGATGGGAAAGTGCCACTTGCCGCGAATGCCCCGGCCGACGTTTCCATACAATTTTTAATGAACACTCCCGAGTAATTAGAGCCCGAAGAAATGGATTTTTCATATTTCGCCTACAACGAAGGGGCGTTCGACGCGTGATATCGGGCAAAGAAACGGAAACCGTGTCACGGAACGAGACAGAGAGAGAGAGAGAGAGAGAGAGAGAGAGAACAGTAAAGGAAGATCGCGAAGCGGAATCCGCTCGCTGGAATGTTCTACCAAGGCACCCCGGTGATTAATTAATCGACGCAACGCGCTCGGAAAATGGCGCTTTTGGCCGAAATCTCGCAGACTCTCGCGAAGAAGCCGTTCGTCGGAAATTTACGACCGATGGGGAAAACTCGTCTTCCATGCCGGAATTATCATCGACGGATCTCGCCCCCCTCGTCCCAGTTGCATCGCGTCCATTGATATTCCTAGTTTTACCGCCACTCCTCTCGCGAATTAATCCTCGACTCGCGCGAGTCGACACTCTAATTCGGAAGTCGAGGCGAAGATGTTCCCTTTCCTGTCGCGACGTTTCGTAGCACCCGGATAGATAGACGAGGGTGTGCGAAACGGGGTGGTAAGGGGCGCGTTAATCGTTGGACCGGCGACTCTTGCCGCGCAACTCGGCCTCGGGACGACGTAGGGTCGTAAAAGAAAAATCTCGCGGCGATCCTTCACCGAGACCATGGACGGGACTAGCGTGTACCCCGTCGTAATTTTCAATTACTGTCTACGGCACGGACCGGCGGAAACTCGTTCGTTCCGCTGGAAGCACGGGTCTTCGTCGTAAAATCGAACGTGCCTGCGCTCTCTCGCGTCTACGTGCACGGTTCCGGAGTGCAAAATCGAGGCATCGGCCGTTAATCTTATCCGGAGCGGAGAGATTTTCGATCTAGGCGAACTCGCGTATATATCGCGACGGGCGTAAGTTGGACCGAGCCTTTGGCCGACTTTGCGAAGAAATTTCCGCGCCGAGTTTCGCGATGGGATCCGTTTCTACCGGCGTCTTCGAGTCGCGGCGTTTCTTCCACGGCTCCGCGAGAGGAAATTCCAGCCGAGACGTCGATAGGAAGGTAGGGTACAAAAGGAGCCGGCAAAAAGGGCGGAGAGAAAACAGAGGGCGACGCTGAAAGGAGCGGCGACGCTGCCTCGCGACATTAATTTTCCGCGGGCATTCAATTAACTTGAAAGCCTCCGACGCGGCTCAAAATTACGCGTCAATCGAATTAACCGATAAACAAGATTCGCGGCTGGCGAGGCTGGAACTCGCCTACCACGCGAGACCGTCGAACGGAAAGGGAACGAGGCGAGCTCGAAGGAATCTCTCCCTTTTACCGTCAGAGACGCCGCGACGTCGAAAGGAAACGCGAGTTCGCCGATGACGAGTCGCGGAATTGCTCTCGGATTTCGCGGACGACGTCTCGTGATCGAAATTAATTCTACCGGTGCCCGGGTGTCGATGCAGGACGGACGACTGGCGGAAACCGGGCCGATATCCGGCGTCTGACGAATTAATATTAACGATTAATCGCGGGAGAGAATCGGCGGTCGCTGGCCGTCCAGCGGGAAGACGAATACGCGCGCGTTCCGCGTTGAAGTTTGATCAATGCCGACGGTTGCGGCTGGCAATTATTCCGAAATTATCACGTTCGTGCGTCGTCGTTACGTACAACCGTGTTCCTGGGCGTTTATTATCCGGCCGGCAGTAGTTATCTCGCTAATTTGTCATCCGTAAGTACCGGCGGGGTGAGCGGGCTGACAAAAGTGCACCGTCGCGTAAGAGCCCTTATCGAGAGTGCTTCCGCGCGACGTTCTTTGCGTCCCCTCGCTCGTAAATTAAGCGGGTAAATGTTATAATTACGAGTCGCGCGCTTCGCACTCGCGCGTCGCGCTCAAAGGACCAGAATCGCGGACTCTGCGTTCCGCAAACACGCTAACCGCGCCGATCTTCTCGTATTCTTCCGTCTTTCTTTCCCTCCGTTTTCCTCTCCATTCCGCGGCGAGGTTTTCTCGCAAACGCGGCACTCTCGACTCTCGTATCGCGAAGGAAATCGGCAAGGTTGGAGGAACTCGGGTTATCCCGCTCTCGCACGGAGGCCTTTCATTTGCTCGTCGCCGACAGGTGTATCGCTATCGAATTTCCATCGATCCGGTGGACACCAGTCTAGCCGGAGTTATCCGACGCGGCGTGCAAGCTATTACGTGATTGCAGGTTTGCAAAACGTATTCCGGCTCTCTCCGTTTTCCCAACGTCTACCTTGGACACGTCGGCTTCCTTTGAATCCAGCCCGATCAAATCGCCGCTGCCGCGTCTCGGCAACGCGAGAAATTAATAGAACCACGGCTCTTATAATTTCCGTCGGCCGTTGCGTCACGCCGGACCGATAGAGCGGACGGGGATCGGGACCGTTCCGCGCGGCTGCGAATCGACCAAAGTTCCACCGCGGTGTCGAGGATATCCCGTAACGTTGTACCGCGCGATAAGTCGACCGTAAAGACCAACCCTAAACGAGATTAGACCGCTGGTTTTACGATTCGTCTAGCGAACCGTCCCCCCTCTTGCCCAACATCACCGACCCCTCGCGATTCCATATCCGCGCTGCTCGCTGTCAAATCGATCGTTTATGGCACCCGATCCCGTTCCGTTACTCGTGGTCCGATTTGCACCGATTTTCTTCGTCGTCGCGGCGATGCGAAGACGCTGGGTCGCGGAACTATCCGGAATTTCAACGCAAGTGTAATTTCTCTCGCGTAAAAATGGCGACAAGTCGCGCGAGGATCTGGTACCCGCGAGTAAATCGTGGTGTAACGGTGGCGCGTTCGGTTCGAGGGGCGTACGAGTGCATGCTCGCGTTTCTCCCGTTTTCCACTCACAAATCTCCCCGACGACCATTGAACGTGCCTCTTACCTCCGAAACGGAACCACCCCCGGAAGGTCTTAACCCGAGCAAGCGGCGCTCGTTGCGCCGGAACCGTTCGTACTAGCTCGGTCTGGCTGTACGTGCTACCCGAGCAGGAAAGATTGCCAGCAATAAAATGTTAATAGGTTAACGAGCGGCAACCGGATCCTCTCGGGGACTCTGCAAACAGAGCCCTCTTGCATCTTTTGCTCGCTCGCTTTCTCTTTCTTTCCGCCTTTCTCCGCTCTTCGTTACGCTGATTCACCTTCGCCTTGTAAACTCGCGGCTAATGAAAATTGATAAATCAGCCGGAGCCGGTGCTCGCCGTGAAGGGTTAGACGCGCGAGAACCTTTTCCTCGCGAAGGATTCGAGTAATTATCCGGCGTCGCGTTGGTCGCGATTTTCCCTTAAGAAGGGGCGAGACGAAGACGCGTTCGAAGCGGAAATTTCGAGCTTCTTTCTCGCGTGTATTTGTTCCGGGTAACAAAGCGGTGAAGCGAGCTCGCCACCGCGAAGCCACGCGAGGAGGTGGGATCGTTTTATGTCCCAATTTGCAGGAATTCATTTACATCCGAATGAATAATGGGCCAACGACGACGCGGCACTTTCCGGCCTAATGCTAATTAATTTCACGACCTATCGATTATTCTTTTGTTGCCCGGCTAGGAGCGAAACGCCCCGCGGCTCGCCGTTCTTTGCCCTATCGATTCGTCGCCGAACGTGTCCCTGGCGGCCCTGTCGCTGCAAAGCGTAACGTAAAAGCTCGTGTCGTCGTTAATTGCGAAAGGACGGAATTTCTAGCCGATCGAAAC